AACACTGTCCTTACTCAACCTTGGGTTCCCTATCACCAGCTTTCCTGTCCCCTTTTGCATTCTAGTCCTTGTCCCTGGACTGCTGTGCCTCATTAGTTCCATTTTATTTTATGGGGCTGTAGGAATTCCTTACTTCTGCCAGTGATTTTAGCCCTTTTCTCTATCAAACCTCTTGCTCACCACAGATCACAGGAAGCTAAATTGGTCCATTTGTGGTTTCACTCTTGGTGTCTTGTTTCCACTTTAGAAGAGGTACACACAGGTTGTAAGAAGTCCAAAGTTCGAGAGGGAGCAAAGAAGGAAGAGAGCAGGATCTGGGTCATCTAGATCCTAGATAATTTACTGCTGAATCACTGAATTTATTGTGGTTTATACTGAGGGGGAAATCACGAGGTCTATTCTTGGGTCCTTAGTAAACTTTCTACAAGTTGTTACTGCAGAAGTCCTAGGGTCTGAATTCCCAGGCAAAGTAGAAACAATGTTCCCTCTCTAGCAGGAGGCTGCCTCCTCTCTGAGCCTTTTATAAGGAGACAGTCTGGCTCATAGAAAGCTTCACAATATTCTGGGGCTCTAGGAGACCAAGGACCTGGATTCTAGGTCTTGATTCTCCACTTATTGGTGTTTGACCTTGAACAGTCACTTATGCCTGTGAACTTTGGTTTCTTCACCTTTAAAATGAGGCTATTAATATCTCTGTTGCTGTAATCATTAAGATGAAGTATTGTGAAAATCCTTCGTAAACTACAAATGGAAAAAGGTTGGCTGTTCTCATGGATTGAATTGTGTCCCTCAAAAATATGTGTATCAGTTTGGCTAGGCCATGATTGTGTGATTGTCTACTATTTTATCTGATGTGATTTTCCTATGTGTTGTAAATCCTACCTCTATGACGTTAATGAGGTGGGATAGGCGGCAGTTATGTAAATGAGGCAGGACTCAATCTAGAAGATTGGATTGTCTTGAGCCAATCTTTTTTGAGATATAAAATAGAGAAGCAAGCAGAGAGACAGAGGGACCTCATACCACCAAGAAAGCAGTGCTGGGAACAGAGTGAGTCCTTTGGATCTGGGGTTCCTGCATGGAGGAGCTCCTAGTCCAGGGGAAGATTGATGAGAAGGACCTTCCTCCAGAGCTGACACAGAGAGAAAGCCTTCACCTGGAGCTGACACCCTGAATTTGGACTTCTAGCCTACTAGACCTTGAGAAAATAAATTTCTGTTTGTTAAAGCTATCCACTTGTGGTATTGCTATTATAGCAGCACTGGATGACTAAGACAGAATTTGGTACCGAGGGAGTGGGGTGCTGCTCTAACAGACAGTTAAAGAGTGGAAGCTGTTTTGAAACTGTGAATGAATAGAAGACTCAGAAGGAAGTGAGGAGAACTGTTAACAGCAGAGAAGGCGCAGATGGTGAGAAACAGCAGCAGAGGACCGGCTGTAGCAGAGGACCGGCTGCAGCAAACCAGGTGACCAACATGACATGGTGCTGGAGCGGACGTACGGAGCGAGAGGGCTGAGTGCCTGTGTCCAGGAGGCTTCCTGGTAGAGTGGGTTACCTCTGGGCGCTTATCAGTGGAGCTGGGCTTGTTGACTCACAGAGGGAGAGAGCTAAGTTCCTGTGTACGGGTGGCTTTCTGGCAGAGTAGAGTGCCTCCAGGCACTTATTGGTAGAGCTACAGAGCTTTGGAACACTTGCCCCAGTAGGGCAGATGCGGGCTATGAGGCTCAAGGGCCGAGAAGCCAAGAAACCAGGAAGCAGAAGCTGAAGAGACAAGGAACACAAGAAGCCGAGCTGCCTCAATCTCAAAAGGTATGGCCATGACCTCTGGGGTTTCAAAGGGTGGAGCAATGGCCTCTGGTGTTTCTAAGGATGGAGTCGCCACTCAGGTGGACTAGGAGAATGGTGTGCCTAAAGCTGAGGGAGCAGAGTTGCTGTCCCAGTGAGCCTGGCAGGCGGAGCAGAAGCCCAGGGCTGAGGGGCCTCCACTCAGAGTCTGGAGAGCATGGCCAATATCTAGAGTCTGGAGGGCAAGGCCATTGTGTAAATTGTCTCAGAGAACAGAGGATTATTTTCAAAGCCTTGCAGGCTAATGGAATGTGTTCTGCTGACTTGCTTGGTGCCTGTTATCCCTTCTTCCCTCTAGTTTCTCCCATTTGTAATGGAAATGTCTAGCCTGTGCCTGTTTTGCCATTGTACCTTTGGAAGCAGATAACTTGTATTCTAGCTTTCACAGATGAAGAGGAATTTTTGGATTTTGAACTCGGAGTTTAAGATTTTTGCTATGATATGATGGAGTGAATATGTTTTACATGTGGCAAGGACATGAATGTTTGGGGGCCAAAGGGTAGAATGTCATGGATTGAATTGTGTCCCCCAAAAATATGTGTATCAATTTGGCTAGGCCATGACTGTGTGATTGTCCACCATTTTGTCATCTGATGTGATTTTCCTATGTGTTGTAAATCCTACCTCTATGATGTTAATGAGGTGAGATAGGCAACAGTTATGTTAGTGAGGTTGGACTCAATCTAGAAGACTGGATTGTGTCTTGAGCCATTCTCTTTTGAGATATAAAAGAGAAAAGTGAGCAGAGAGACAGAGGGACCTCGTACCACCAAGAAAACAGTGCCGGGAGCAGAGTGTGTCCTTTGGACCTGGGGTTACTGTGCGAGGAAGCTCCTAGTCCAGGGGAAGATTGGTGAGAAGGACCTTCCTCTGGAGCCAAAAGAGACAGAAAGACCTCCCTTGGAGCTGATGCCCTGAATTTGGACTTCTAGCCTACCAGACTGTGAGAAAATAAATTTCTCTTTGTTAAAGCCATCCACTTGTGGTATTGCTGTTATAGCAGCACTAAATAACTAAGACAGCCATGTAAGTGAGAAAATGAATAAAGGGTACTTAGCACCATGCCTGCACATAGCTTTCATCAAGTGGTAGCTCCTATTGGCATCATGGTGTCGTCATCAGCATCCCCAGAGGGGCCCTTTGGCAGAGTACAGAAATGTGTGGGCAGGGCCAGCCACCACCTGACACACTAGCCCAGCCCTTGCACCACCTCGTGGGCCAGCTTTCCTCTTGCCATTCTGACCTCAGTGGCTCCGTCTGGTCCCTAGCACTCTTGAGAGCTGTTAGCTGGGCTCCTTCAGACCTGATCTTTTCCCTTCTGGTGGGGTGGTGGTCATTATAGTCTGAAATATGTACCTTATTTGCATGCCTGACAATTACTGTCCTAAACATTGATTTCAGATGTGACCCCTCTGAGATTAATATTTCTGATGAAATGCCTAAAACCACAGTCTGGAAAGCTCTCAATATGAATTCCGGAAATACAAAGGAAAAGAGGTAAGAAGAACTGTAATTGCTGATTTTTGTTTATTTCTAGCTTTTAAGAATGGCAATTATGTTGAAGGCAAAATATTTTTTAGTTGTAGTAAAAGTGAAGTTGTCTAATAGCTTCCAAGACCGTGCCTAACCCCATGGGAGTAGCTCTAAGCCTAAGAATAGTACAAATGTTTTCTAGCTAGTTGAATAGACAGGCTGTTTTAAGATGCCCATTTACACAAGTCCAAAGTTAGGATGGAATCGTTTTGAGATGCAAATTTGCTTTATCTATTTAGTTCCCTTAATCTTCCCTGAGTGGTGCAAACTGTTAAGCGCTTGACTGCTAGCCAAAAAGTTGGTGGTTCAAACCCACCCAGAGGCTCCTTGGAAGACAGGCCTGGCGATCTGCTTCCAAAAGGTCACAGCCTTGAAAACCCTGTGGAGCACAGTTCTATTCTGACACACATGAGATGGCCATAAGTCAGTCGGATGACTCCTTTAGTGGGATCTCTTCCTAAAAGAGGGGTCAGGAGTAGGAGGGGAACAGAGAGAAAAGAGAAGGCTCTTCAGCCCTGTTAGCATCTAACAACAGCAATCCTCCTTCTAGTTTCCATTTTAAAATCTGTAGGGCAGCTCTCTGGTTATTGCAACCACACAAATTGGAATATTGCTAAAATATTTGAATAGTGTTTCTAGTATTGATACAGACTTTAACTTATTTAATTAACTTGTTCCGTAATGGGGATTATTACCAAGCAAGGATTTTGAAATATTATATTGTAACTGCTTTCTTATTTTGGAAACTAATTTCTGTATATCATTTGCCAATAGCATAAATTAATTTTAATCAGATTAATAAAGAAAATGGAAGGACTTGAGGCATCTTTACCTACACTGAATTAGGCTGTGCACCCAAATTACTTGAATAAGTTAGTTTAAACACTATTTAAGTTTAAGTAGTCAGATAACTGAAGGCAAAATCTGAGGCCTTATTAAAGACAACTTTTCTAGTTGAAAAAAAAAAGAAAAAGAAAGCAGTAGTCTAGGAATCAGGGGACCTGGTCTTGCTATTAGTTCCATATATAGCCTGGCAGGCCACTATTACTGGCACTCAGTTTACTCAGTTATAAAATGGGGATAATAATAACTAACTGGTTTGCTCATAAGGCTGCTCTTGAAAAGGCACAGCCACCAGTGGGTTGTAGTGGTGGGGTTATTTCTTCATCTAATGGGTTAAAATAAATCTGTGCTGACTGTGACTGAAATATAGAATCTTGTTTCCTTCAGAGGAAAATCCAAGCAGCTGTTGAAATGTATAACACACATGGTTATTTTTAGTTGAGAACTAGTCTACTTGTAAATGAACTTAAAATATAGCCAGATCCAAATTGTGGTGACATCTTCAAAGTATTGTGTTAAAAGCAGGAATGAATCATGTGTTCCCTTTTTGTCTAATTGTAACACTTTTATTCAGTCTCTTCAACTAAGAGTCTTTGCTGGTATGGAAGATTTGGGCCTTGAGTGCCTCAGGGAAGTTCTGTTACCGAGAAGATGGCGAGTCTCTCAGAGAAGAAGCAAGGCCAGGTATGGCCCTGTCCTTGGTCATGTCAGAGCCATGCTGAAACATTCAGTTATTCTTGGTGTGCATCAGAGGGCATTCAGCTATCCCCATACCAGCAGCCAATCACCAGGTGTGAACGTGGAAGCAGAAGACCACCTCCTGTTGGTACTTCTCCTTCTCTTCCTCCTCTTTCTCTTTAGAACTACCACCACTGAAGACCCAGCTTCCCATTTTCCTGACATTTTCGCTGAAACTCTCTGCTGGCCTGTCAAGCCATATGAATCCATTCTGCCACTGAGGATTCCTTTAGTGGGGTCCCTTCCTAAAAGATGAGGTCAGAGAGTAGGAGGGGAACAGAGAAAAAAGAGGAGGCTCTCCAATTCTGTTAGCATCTGCAAACTCCTAGGTAGCACTGGGCCTTGGTTTGATTGCCTATCCTGGGGTGAGCTGGTCAGACCCAGAGATTGTCAGAAGGGTCTGCTACTAGGAGGGTCAGCAATCTGAGCATCAGCAGCCTCCACCACTGCAGCTGGGAAGATGGCTTTGGCCCAGGTTCATCTTCAGCACTCACTAGCAGCAGCCTGCATAACTCAGCAAGAACCTTGGAAGATGAAAGAGCCAAGAGGGACGTTGGAGTTGTTTACCTTAGACAGAAAAAGGCTCGGGAAAATCAATAATGATAAATGAGGATGAGCACCTTCTCTTGGTTTTCATTGAGGATGGCGTAAGAGAATGAGCTTAAATTGCTAGAGAAGGAATTAGTTTAGACACCAGGAAGGACTTTCTAGCCTGAAGATTTGTGATAGTATCTGCTTTCTAGATATCTGGGACAGGTTTGATAACAGTTGTTTGTGAGTGGAAAGGGGGGATGAGGTGTTATTTTTGCCATTGTGTGGGAACTTTTGATGTCTTGCTGCTGTCCATTAAGGACACATTCTGATTCCATTCCTTGAAAGATCCAAGTGCTTATGTAATGTCTCCTTAGCTGCCTTAGTAGTGAACCATTATCAGCTCAGTGGACCAAAACCACCTTCAGCCATGTGGTTTCTTCATCATCATGGATTTCTGTTGGTTGACAAACGTTCTAGGTCTCAGATGTAAAAAGCTACACTGGGAAATGAACTGTAATTGGTAAAGTTAATTGTGATATTTAGTTTAAAATTTTAGTTTTTTCTTCTCTTCTGTGTTACCATGGATATCAAGGGTTTGTGTTCCAGTGTGTTTAGACCTTCCCTTCCCTTGTGCACAGAATGTGACTAGCAAGCACATTGGCACCCAGGAAATCCCATCACATTTGTTTTCCATCCTGGAAAGCCTTTGTACAGTGGGAAGTTCCCCAGTGTGCTTTCGTCTAATAGGAGAAGAGTGTTGTGTCTCTGCCTCACCATCACCCCAAACCAGTTGCCATCAAGTCAGTTCCCACTCGTGGTGATTCCATGTGTGTCAGAGTAGAACTGTGCTTCATAGGGTTTTCAGTGGCTGATTTTTAGGAAGTAGATCACCAGGCCTTTCTTTCAAGGTGCCTCTGAGTGGACTTGAACCTCTAACCTTTTGGTTAGCAAGCAGCTGAGCGCATTAACCTTTTGTACCACCCAGGAACTCCACAATCAGCCACCAATTCCTTATCCATTATTTTGTTTATAATCAACTGCTCCCTTCCTTCTCTTCCATCTATGTCCCTTCTCTTCTATCCTTTGCATCTGGGAAAAAGGGAAGTTTCCCTGGGCCCCTACATTAGGGACATTTTTGCTATCCTCAAGTGTAGATTTTTGTTTAGAGCAGAAAAAATTATCTGGAGATTTAGTTTTAAAAAATTAACATTGAATTAATTGAAGTTACAAACCCCCAAAGCAATGATTTCTTAGTAACCTTTTAAATTTTAACTTATGAATCTCATTGTACTATTTAGTAGTCTAGCAAATCTTCGCATTTAATGTCTTCAAACAGTTTAAATGCTTTGATAAATTTATTTTCTTTTTTAAAATCTTTAGATTGTCTGACTTAACTAAACAAAATCTTCCTGAGTACTTAAATTCTTATAAATCTAATATGCTAAGCTCATAAAAGATGGCAAAATTTAGGTTCTCTTGATTGTTCTAACACTGTATATAAACTTAGTAAGATTTCAATTTAAAATCACAATTTATAATTTTACAATTACAATTGTAAATTAATTATCCAATTATATATTTTAAAATTAGAATTACATAATTAATCTGACATGCCAAATTTTCTTTAAAATTATAAGTAATTAAAATACCAAATATACTTACTTCGAAACTTAGCACAAACATTAATACTGTAGATTTGATTAGCTTAGTATCTATATATAATTCTAGATCTCCACGAGCTAAAGATGCTTACTTCTCAAATAATTTTTGAAATTTCCTTCCCAGCAATTTTTTGGATGGACTTTTCAGCTTGCTGAGATCTCTTCATCAGATTTATTGGCTGGCATGTGACTGGATCCTTGTCTGTGACAGTGATAGGACATACTGGACCCTATCTATGTGGCTGTATCAGTGCCCTCCAAACGGGGTGGTCCTGTCTTCTAGTTATATGTAACTAATTTCTCTTTCTACTCATGGAGGATTTCAGTCTCTACCCAGTTGGCTATACCACTTAATTGAATTTTGCATGTCTTAGACTCTTAAAATGCATTAATGTATTCTAGTCTTACTTTAAAGGGCTTTGATACTGAAGGAATCTTGCATTTCTTTCAGATTTCCCTATCTCTCAGGGCTTCAATTATTTTAATATAGAGATGATTTTCAAAATATTTAACAACTGGTGTAAGATGGACACCAACCACTCAGAACGGATGCCTGCTGTAAACAAGCAGTATGTATGGCTTTACTGGTGCCTATTGGCTGGACAGCATGCTCCTTCCAAGTATTAAAATTATATCCCCTTGAATTTTGAGTATTGCTCCAGATATGTCTGACTTCCAGTCACAAGGCTGTTTTAGAGACAGTCTCAGCTTCCCTTCATATGGTACAGACAGGACCAGGCATGTTTCTTTGAACTACCTAGGCATTAAAGTCTTTGTAAGCCAAGGTTTCACAATTCATCACTTGAGGATAAATGTACCCATTTACCTACCTAATTTTGAAAAATTAAAAAGCAACCTATAAGGAGGAAGAGTTTTCTTCTTAACTTTTCCCTGTCCCTCTCTGGCTGCTTCCTTGAGCTTGCCTCCCTTTTCATCATGTTTGTTCTCTGAAAGCATCCCCACTTTCTTCTCCATCTTGCCCCTCCCATCTTTTCCTGCCACCCTCTCTGTGGAGAGGTTGGTGATTGCTTCACCTGTTCCCCTAGTCTCAGCACGCTGTAAGGGAAGTAACAGGGAAGAGTTCAACACACAATGACCCCAGGTAACAATCACTCAGAAAAATTCTTCTCTAAGGCGCTGATGTCTCATGTTGCCTTTTACATCTGAGGGTTCTTGAGAGAGGGAACTTGTCTTTGTTAGCTCTGTGCAGTGCAGTTACAGGACCACATGTGCACTTCTGAGTCCTTCCCAAGCCAAATTCTCCCAGGTGACTGCACCTTAGGAATGCTAGCTACTGTGGAAGATAATGCCAACCCTCTTAGGCCACTTGATTTTTCTCCAATAATAACTACTTCATTTCTGCTAGATCTCAGTGGTAGGAACTATTTCCTACTCCTAACTCTCTCCTCTTTCCCAACTCCCTTCAAACACGCAACCCCAGCCTTGGCTGCTTCCTTGCTCAGGTCTGTGGCTGGTGAGCATTGTGGCAGAGTCAGGCTGAGCAGTGTTTGGGATAGGAAATTGGGAGTGGAGGTGAAGATGCCACAGTGTTCGTATGTGTGTGTGTGCATGTGTGTTTATCAACAAATGAGAGTTTATCCGTAAGATTTCATTGCTACTGTTAAAAAGCCTTTACACTCCTAGCTGTGGATGACCCTAAAAATATGTCATTCTTTCATCTAGGGGATATCCAGCTCCAGTTTCCCTGGTAGAATGGCTTGAGGACAAACATAGGCAGATTAATATCAAACAAATTATAAATAGAAAAAAGATGTTTAAAGGAAAATTAAGGAAAAACTGGTTTTTGGGTAGAAGACAAAACAAATAGGTAGTTAGGTGATTTCCATGCCCATGTATGCTTGGGTCAGAGAACCATCCACTTCTTTTATGACAAGAGACAGTTTCAGAACAGTTTGAGTATAAGTAGGACAGTGCCCTGATGGACTGGTAGTGTGGACAAGGGAGGGACAGAGGCCAGGGATTTAAGAAAGTGAAGCTGAGTAGAATGTTGGTTCTAAGGGAAAGAATTGGAGCTGCTAAATTAGTGAGTTACTTCCTAGTCCATGACTTTTAGGGAAGGGTTGGTATAGAGAAGGTAAAGACCAACAAAGATATGCTGTGAAATTGTCAAATATATTTGATTGCATAAGGTGCAGGCTGACTGTTTGTGGCTATATACCTGGTATTTCAAGCTTCTAGTGACAAGATGGTCAGGAGATCTGATATTTACCACATACAGCTGCTATCCTCATTTCCTTATTCATAGAAACTTGCCTTTAGAGTGGAGGGAGAGTGAACCATATACTCCAAAACACAGTGTGAGTAGTGACTGTTTCCCTTTGTCTGAGGTGTGACTGGATTTTAAATTAGCCGTAAATGTTTGATAAAAATATGGTATGTGCTAAATCCCAGACTTGATTGATGCCTCAGGCTATGATGGCTATGACCTTCATAAGTCTCTGGTTTGGGGAATCTGTGTTTTCTGGCTGTTCAGAAAAGACAATTCCCAGTTCTATTTTATTTTCTACCCACTCAACAATCCAGTCTTTCCTTTTAGTAGAGGAGTCAGAAATTTGCCCTGTATCTTCTCTGTGGGTTTCAACGTCCATTTTCTGAGTCTTCCAGTTCTCCTGAAGCATAAGACAAGGCTTGGCCCCAGAGCTCCTGGATTTCCTTTTCTAGCATCAGAAACACTACCCAGTCCATTTTCTCTGCCACTTGATCAGCTTCTCTAAATTCCTTCCTGTGCAAGGGAGTCAGTACCTCCTTCTAGGATTTTAAACAGCTGTCTTTGCCAGTCTGTTACTGAATTTTGTCCGAGTTTCTCAGGTTTCCATGCTACATTCTAGCAGGACATTCGGGAACCTCATGTGCATTCAGTGTTCTCAGCCTTCTTGACTTTCTTTTGGTTGTGCTTGTCAGGGCTCCCAAGAGGTATAAATCTTTTGCACAGGCGCTGGCTGGCCAAATGAGACATCATCCAAGTTCCTTTCCTTACTGTCTCAGCTTTTTCAAACACCTTTCACTCCTCTCCTTTCTGGCTTTTCCTCAGTCTTTCAAGTTCTCCTTGGAGGGGAGAAGTTATTTGTGAGAGGTCCTGAAAACCACAACCAGTTCAGGGTGGCAACAGCAGTAAGGAGCTTGGACGGCTCTGGGATTTCTCAGAAAGGGGGCTTTCTGGTTATTTTCCTTATTTAGGGTGAGGAACTAGGATCCTCAAGCCCTCAGGCTCACCTATATTTCACTGAAAAAAGAAAAAGCCAATTAGAAATGATTTTTTTCTACAAAGTGTGTTCTTTATGGTTCTTGGTGCCCTCTGTCTCTTATGTTAATTATAGACAATGGGCAGTTGACTGAGTTACCATTTCTTCACCAGAAAGGAGGGGATTTTTCATAGCCAAAGGAGGTGTGAAGTAACTACATCACTGCTTGAAGTGTGAAAAGAGGAAGGGAGTGCTTCCGTGAATCTTTTCAATAGGAAAATTTGGAAAGTGGAATGATGCATCCATAGACATAATCCTTTCAGGCGATTCCGTGCTCAAAGGAGATGGAATGGTTTCTGATCCTTCTGAAAAGAAAAGGAATAGCATTTTCTTAATCTTACTCCACTTTCAACATTGGTGAATACAGAACTTCTTTTCTAGCTGATGGCATTAGTATTTTCAGAGAAAGAGATAATCCTCCACGACACTTTTCTGAGCCCAGCAGAAACCA